GTTTTCACACTCTTCTTCACTTATTTTTACATTGTCACTCATTTCTTTTGAGCCCTCATGATATGACAAGGAAATAGATGTCAAATTCTTGACCTCTTTCTGCTGCAATTTTTCTTCAATTATTTTGGCATGGTATAGTAAAGTAAACAAACACTTGCACCCTTGAGGAAGCATTCGTGCAATCTCCTTTCTAACACCATACACAAATCTGTTCTTGGTAATTGCAGTTGGCTCAATCACCTCATCTCGGATCATCAAATCTCTTAACTTGTTGTAGAATTCTTCCACACTAAGTGATCCTTGTTGAAGTGTATTTAACTCAAAAGACTCCATGGATGATGTGAAACAATGAACAATAACTAGAAAATACAAGGGATGACAACACAAATCTGGACAGATTTTAAGGGTGGCTTTGATGAATTTTCTGGAATGTTATGGATGATATTTTGACCCAAATTTTTTTATGGTTAGCAAGAACTATGGGTTTTATTCAACCATAAAAATTTTTAGGGCAAAAAGATAAGTGGAAGTATTTTTTTCCAAACTTTTCTTCTGGATTGGACAGGAAGAAAATTTCTGGGCAGAATCTTACGGTTGTGTTGAATTCAGCAATTTTTCTGTGTTTCTTGGAATATGATTTTTGCACAAAAATTTCATGAAACAATATAGTGGTAGGTTGGGTACTTCCAGAAAAAATTTCAACACAATTGGATATGTGGAAGTATTTTTTTGGAATTTTTTTTTTAGAAGACGCGGGCTGAAAATTTACTGCAGAAACAAATGAAACAAGAATTGATTGGTAGAGTGTTAACCTTTTTTGTGTGACGAATGAACCCAAAGCTCTGATACCAAACTGATGTGGATCTTTAGGGGATGAACTCAAGAGTCGATTCACCAAAGAATCCTTTGATTGCCCGATCTTTTCCTCACCAAAACAGCAGGAACAACAATTATGGTTTGAGGGTGTTGGAGATGGAATTGGTTGATGTAGGGGTTGGTTATGGGATTATTTTTGTGTTTTTCTATAAAGATATTTCCGCCACACCTTGGTCTTAGGTGATAAGGAATGGATGGCACCACAAGATTGGTATTATCTTGATAAGCCTAAAAGAACATCTCTCAAAACACAAGAGAGACAACAAAAATGCCTAAACATTTTCTTTTGATTCAATCTCAAAAATTCTGCCTCAAAGATGATGTTTTAGCCTCCTTTTTATAGAAGGCTATTTACAAGGCATTAAAGAACATTCATCTCCCTTGAACTAGTAACATAGAAATAAAGAAAACAAAAGGTCACTAATTAAATTTAACATAAATGCATTTTAATTAACTAAAATAACTACATTTTAATTATATGACTTCATTTCAATGATGATCAAGTTCAATGAGCATTCTAAGACCTTCTTTTTATATTTTTGGACCGACATAGTGATATTTTAATTTACTTGGGCCGTGTCCTCATCAACAAAGATGAGAAATATTTGGGTGAAAAAGGAGAGATTGAGAAAAAAACTGAACGTGAGGAAGAAGAATTGTCTTTTGAACTTTGTGAGAAAAAGAATGAGGGAGAAGATTTCGAGAACTCCATAAACTTTATTTTAAGTTCTTTGCAGGTTAATGAATGTGATACAAGGGTTGAAAACCAATTGGAAGGAATGGTATTGTTATGCCATGATCTACAAAGCGCGGGATCAGTCACTCTCCTTGGTGAAGGTATTAAAGTCATATGGTCGGATAATTACTCATTTCCATTTGACCGAGGCAAGTGTGATTCGAGGACGAATCATCTCGAAGAGTGAGGGAATGATGAGGACACGGCCCAAGTAAATTAAAATATCACTATGTCGGTCCAAAAATATAAAAAGAAGGTCCTAGAATGCTCATTGAACTTGATCATCATTGAAATGAAGTCATATAATTAAAATGTAGTTATTTTAGTTAATTAAAATGCATTTATGTTAAATTTAATTAGTGACCTTTTGTTTTCTTTATTTCTATGTTACTAGTTCAAGGGAGATGAATGTTCTTTAATGCCTTGTAAATAGTCTTCTATAAAAAGGAGGCTAAAACATCATCTTTGAGGCAGAATTTTTGAGATTGAATCAAAAGAAAATGTTTAGGCATTTTTGTTGTCTCTCTTGTGTTTTGAGAGATGTTCTTTTAGGCTTATCAAGATAATACCAATCTTGTGGTGCCATCCATTCCTTATCACCTAAGACCAAGGTGTGGCGGAAATATCTTTATAGAAAAACACAAAAATAATCCCATAACCAACCCCTACATCAACCAATTCCATCTCCAACACCCTCAAACCATAATTGTTGTTCCTGCTGTTTTGGTGAGGAAAAGATCTGGCAATCAAAGGATTCTTTGGTGAATCGACTCTCGAGTTCATCCCTAAAGATCCACATCAAAAAGGCAACGTGATTACCACAACACAAGCTAGAACTCCTCACTCTCTGACTCCTCGGCCTCCTCAGATTCTTATTCATCTTCTCTTTTGTGGCTTGAACTGACTTCGAGCTGGTCCAACCTTTGGTGCACGGCAACAAACTGCGTCTTCAAGAAAGCAAAGCAACTAAACCAACTACTCGAACTACAAGCTAACAACCACGGCAAACAAGAGAGAACAACTAAGCACAACCGAAAAGCGACAACAACAGAGTGGCAACAGCAAACGAGGGAAGAACGAGTTACCACAACAAAACGGTCGACTTGCGAAACGGATGACAAAGCTTAAAAGATGGGTTGCAAATGGGGTTTTAAGCAACAAAGGTGTTCGCCACTAACCAAAGTTAGAGGAAATAAGGGTTCAAATTAAAGTGGTGAGATAGATAGGTTTAGTCACAACGAAGTTCAACACCAAATCCGTCGGTTAACAAAACAAGAGACAAGACTTAGAGATAGGTTGAGGGTTTACAAAAGGTAAGACAAGAAAGAAAGATAAGGTGGTAGATAAAAGATTTACCGGGAAGGAAAGCTAACTTCACACCGAGCCAAACTCCTGCTCAAAACTAGCCAACGATCTACTCAAAACGAGACAGCTCAGCTAAGGAACAAGCCACAAACAGAAACTGACACCACAAGAACTCTAAACTAGATCACTCGGGATCACAGAACCAGGGTTGCATCTTCGACCGATCTCTGCTGACTTCTTCAACCAAAGGAAACAAGGTACCCCCACTACTTAACTTGAGCTCAGCATTTGCTTGAACTTGATCCGCCACTTCCGTCAAAAGCTTCAACTGCTAGATCCAAAACACGAGTTGGATGTCCATCTTTCCGGATCTAGGGTGAACTCGATGAAGGCTACCGACTTAACACTTGCATTAGCACACCACTTCCAAATCTCTACAAAGCAACGCTTGAAACTTCAAAACTTCGGCCCGGATGAAAGGTTCAAAACAAGAACGGTAACAAAGGAGAAAGGTAACTCAGGGGAAAGAAGGCTCACAAGAAGAGATGCAGTTCAACGGTAAGGATTAGAGCGAAAGGTTTGGGTTCAGAAACTCAAGGACCACGTGACATAGAAGTAGGATCAAAGTCATCAAAGTTGCAATTTAGGAAATAAGGTTGCTACCTTGCACAGAATCGTTAGAAGCGGGGAATACAAAAACGAGGTTCGATTCAAAAGGGAAGATCAAGGTGAGAGTTTAGGTTCAACAATTCGAAGACCATGTTGATTAAGAAGAGAAGAAAGGTAAACAGGACTACAACTTAAGAAGTAAGGAATCAAAATGGGGTTTTAGGGAGTTGAAAAGAATTTCCTCACGGATGATAACTAGGAAGGGAATTAAGACTCTCAAAGTCACAACTTAGGAAAGATGAGTTCGTAACCTTAGACAGAGTCAAATCAAGAGAGGAACAAGAACGAGGTTTGAAAGAATTGAAAGGATTTCCCAACGAAGGGTACTAGATTTAGGCTAAAGAATAGCGTAGGTTAAGGAGGAAATCAAGATTTTCAAGATTACAACTTAGGAAAACGAGGTTGTCATCTTATATAGAATCAAATTAAGAAGGAAACGAGAACGACGCTCAAAGAGATAGGAAAGATTTCTCGGAAAGGGGCAAGGGATGAAGATCGGTTTCAAGAGGTAAAAGGGTTCACGACTTCTGGCAAAACTTCGGCTTGACGCTGAACACTAAGCTTGTCGAACTGAAGGCTCTCTACCACGACTCAGACACGGCTTACTCTTAGACCTTGCCAGATTTCTTCATAAGCTGATGACATCGCCGCCTTGCACAAGATGGTTTGGTAAAGAAAAAGGTTCGGAAGAAAGGATTACTTGGCAAATAGGGTGATATGGTTTGTCTAAAGGAAAGAAAAGATTAACGAGGGTCAAGGATAACTCTCGAACAAGCTAACGCTCGAAGCTAACACACACGGAAGGGCACAAAGACGAAGGGAGGTGCAACAAAAAGGGTACAAAACTTACTTCCACGGTTCCCACTTGCATCTGTCTCACAACTATTGATCTTGCCTTGCCGAGGTTGTTGTTGAGTCCGTTGAAGTCTTCCTCTTAGCCCTGCACTCAAAGGACCGGTGACCTTTCTTTCCACAAGCAAAGCACTCTATCGGATTCCCATTCTGAAGAGGGTGGTTGTTGAGGAGGGCGTTGCTTAGCGTCTGGGTGATCCGCGTGAGATGAAGGAGACTTTGAGCTAACTGTTCACTGGTGACGGCTTCTGAAGACCTTGTACGACGTCTCGATGGTTCCATCCTCGACTTCTACAGCAACAGCACGATAACAGGAGGAAACTTAGGGCCCGCACCCTTACCTGGTGCCTCAACTAAAGAGAACCAAAGCTGAAAGGAAAACAAAGCACAGAAAACACAACAGAAAATGACACAAGAACTCACAATCTCACCGCGCGTCCTAAAGTCCTAAGCCTAACACTTAGATTCTTAAGGTCGCTTAAAGGTCTCAAACCACACCTAGCCACTTAGAAAGTCTAGACTTAACTCCTTCCTAGACTCAAACCTAGGCTCAGATACCAACTTTAACACCCCCTAAAAACAAGCTATTTAAAAGCCTTAAACATGCAGATAACTGAACTAAACAACAAACACAGCGGAAGACTGAAAGATAACTAGATAAACTTAAATCCAAAACACGGGGTGTTATGCCACGTTCACCAAAAAGGATGAACGCTACGGCAATATCTGCATTGTTTACAACTAATCCATAGTCTCAAGGTCTACAACTAAATCGGCACACAGGCCATAAAATAAGCGGGAGAAGCTATGCTAACAGGCACTAGACTGCGCACTCGCCTAGATAACACCTGAAAGAACGCAGTAAAACATGGGACGACGCCCGGTCAGCGAATAATGCTGGTAACCCACCAATACATGTGAAATAACATACATAGATAAGATATAAGTTGTAAAGCCATTTTCGAAACGGAATACATATATATAAGTGCAAAAACCACGAGTAATAGTCAACACAAGACTCAACACTCTCAACAATAACACGGGAACACATCCCAAGACCACAAGGAACAGCATGGCTCACAAGAAGAGTCAAGGCATGATCTATCATCACTCAATAGATCAAAACCCGACAAGCACAACGCAAAGGAATAAGACTTACCCAACGGCAACACATGCCTATTGACTACACACGTCACAAGAGAAGAACTCATAACCACGGCTACACAAGCCCTCGTGACATCACCCATCACGAGTTGATATGCCTTCCTTATGCCCGGTTCCAACCTTATGGCTACCCCCAACCTTGTATCTTCTTTCCAACCATTACCTCCAGGACCCCTGTACTTCTTAGTCCAACCTTTTCCCTCCTGGGACCGTCGTCCCCCACCAACAAACCACCAACAAGACCACCAATTTCATAGTACACGAGGGTACCGTACACACACACGGCAACACATGACACCCAAGAATCACGTGAACCTTACACAAAGGCCACAACTCCACAATCACGTCACGGCCACCACGAGGACCGCTGCAATACCTTGGTGACTAGTGTCCCATTCCACTAATCGTGCAATCCAGGTAAAGCCACACACACATCACACCGCAACAGGAATCAATCAACGGATCACAACGAAGATATGAAACCATACTCAATCAAGGAATGGGTCACATCCCAACAATAACAACGATGAATAACACAAGTTATCATCAACCAATCGGAAGGTACAAACAACACACATGCTAGCATTTAAACACCGAACTAGCATGCTTATCAAACGGGTAAACCAAAGGTAGTTCCGAAGAACACACAAGACTCATCATGGTTCAACGAAACACAACGTTGAACACTTAGCACGATTCAAGACACCAAAACCTATATGGATTCCTACCATATAGTTCTAAACATACGAAGCATCCAGAAGACACTCAAATAGTTCCACAAAAGAACAAAGGGAAGTCAAAAGACCAAATACCGAGTCAAAAGAATCACAGGGAACAAATCTCCCAACAACCACAATAGTGTACCCGCGGGTGGGCCCACGGGTGGTGCCCCGTCCGTGGTTCCGCCCGCGGGAACACATTCCCACGAGCCTTGTACCCGCGGGTGGGGCAACGGATGGTGCCCCGCCCGCCGTTCCGCCCGCGGGTACATGTCCTGTACCACAAAACACACTTCGCGGATTTTTCATCTCCAACTCAAATTCAAGTCCAAAACATGCCAAATCTCACCAAATACAACAAAATGACTTGATTCAAAGGAAATGCCACGCAAAGGCACACAAGAACCCTAAACACAAGCTCTTGATATGCATTTTCACAAGATCATGCATCAACACTCACATTTCATAGCAAAACACATGTAGAATCCAAGAAATCACATATAGTTAAGAAAAATAGATTTTGTAGAGCATGGGTTACCTCTTGTAGACTAAAGACTTCACTTTACACTTTAATAAGCTCTTCTCAAGGCTCACCTTCCAAACCCACTTCAAGAACAAACCAAAAGATCATAAAGATCCTACCTTTAAGAAAAAACACCTAAAATGAAACCAAAAACACAAGATGAACTTAGATCTTATCCTCCTAGATGCCCAAATATAGGAAAGGTTTAATCTTGGAAGAAACTCTTGAAGTTTTGGCAAGGTTCCAACTTGGCTTTGAAGAAAAGCTACTCACCTTTTAGAGAGAGGGTGGAGTTAGATTTTTAGAAAAGTGTAAGGAGAGAATGAATGTGGTCTTACTAGGTTAGGTTACTTTACCAACAACAAGTGAAAGGTCAAGAATACCCTTACTGATGCGGCCCAACATAATGAAGATCCATCAAGAGTACCAATTGGGCCAATCACAAGGCCCAAGTCCAAACGATTAAGACAACTCTTCATTGGTGATATTCAAAGATGGTGGAAATCCAAGTCAAGCCCATTTGCAAAAGATGAAGAAGATTTCAAGGCTTTTTATAATTGTTTAAGTGCTGATTTTGGTGATTAAATTAGGCCCAAATCAGCCCTATTATTTTTGGTCATCATTAATTTAAATTGTTTGGCATAAAAGAGAAATCACTAGTTGTATTTAGAAAGGATTCCTTAAATCCTTTTCTAAATAAAACTCTATTTACTTGTTTTCTAGATTAGGTTTAGGACTCTTTTTCCCATTGTATTTAGATTACAATGCTTCCCTATACCTATAAATAGGGCACATCCATATCAGTTTGAAACAGGCTTCAATTCACTAAAATTCTTAAGTTTTTCTTTACACTTGTGTAAGAAACCTTATGGCTAATTGTGGACTCAATTAGTGGCTAGTCGTGGACTCGACTAGCAAATTGATTCGTGGACTCGAATCAATCTTCCTTTCTTCAACCTTAGATTTAGGTTCGTGGACTCGTTCTTGAATCGAAGGAAACTAGATCCGACTCTAGTTGATTGAAGATTGCATCATCGAAGTACTTGAAGCTACAATAGGATTCTTCCAAGTCTTTGAGGATTCAAGACAAAGGGTTTCTCGTGAGGTTTAAGGTATTTTGATCCATCTCTATCTTTACTTTGAGAGCATTCTTGGGACAATATTCCATCTTTATTTGTATCTTGGATTAGATTCATATCAATTAGAGAGCCTATGTTTATCTCATTCTTATCTTACATACTATTTTTTTTCTTCGTGTCTTATTCATAAAAAAACCCTAAAAAAAATTTCCTTTGCATTCTTGATTGTGTTCTTGAATCTTGATACATGTTCTCCAGTTTCTTGAAAAACAATCCCAAAAGAGTTTTTCCTTTTTCTCGTCCAATATCAACGAGACCTCACACCTCCTAAGCACCATATTACCACATATTCTGTAAAGAAAACAACCCCATCTCACTCTTACCAATATCCAAAGCGCATTTACGCGCAATCACGTCTCAATCACACCCTGTCCAGATTTCCGCGAGCTGTGACCAGTTTCAAAGAATTACCTATATCTCGAGATCCACTAGTTAGTTTTATCTGAAATTTTGATATGTTTTAGATCTCTTCTGGGGTGTTCTATTGATATATTATAAACTTGCTAATTCCTTACGGTCATTGAGATATTGATCTTCGAAGTAAGAACATTGTTTCTGTTTTTCTGGGCGATTCTTGAAATTCTTAATTCTGTTTTGATGGGGTTGTGTGGTTCCTCTTGGTCCGAAATTTTTTTTGTTATTTACAGTAGTTATTTGGAGGTTACCTATCAAAAAAAAAAATCAAGAAAGTTGAAAAAAAAAAGAGAGAAAGCAATAAAGAAGAAGAATAAGGTTGGGGAAAGAATTTGGCTGGTAGGAGAATTTTGGAGGGACAAGGAAGGGGAAAAGTATAAGGTTGGAAGGAGTTCTTGATAGATTCCTAATTGGTTGTGGTACACGTGAACCCCTTTTATAGTCTATTTGTCTCTATCTTTTGATATTGGTCTTGCATATCTTTCTGCCATACTTCCTTCTTTGGTTTCCTTTTTCTTTCAAATCTTATTTAGTTTCTTTGCTCGTATTGTCCTTTTTCTTTGCTTCTTGCTCTCAATTTTATTACCTACCTCGCGATACACCTTACTCTCAAAGGCTTGTGAAGTTTTCCAAGGTACGTTTTCTTGAACTTTGAGGTTGAATCCATATCAACTTGAGTTCCGGACTAGAATTTTCCTTTTTGGAAAAAGGCTTGTGAGAGTATCTGCCACCTTGAGCGATACACGAGTGGAGTGTGTGTTTGTAAAAGTGTGTAGTGCACCCCCGAGCCATATAATCCACCTCTTACCTGTGAGCTGAGAATAGAGAGGGAGCGAGCCAACTTTTTGGTTTCACTAACATGAATACTCACATATCTTCTTGTTTTTAGATTTTGTTTCTCATCTACAGATGACTGAAGAGGTTCTAAACACACGTAAGAGATTAGAGCATAAAATAGATGCTCTAGCCTTTGCCATGGAAGGTTTAAGCACTCGAATGACTAATCTAGAGCAACACCCTAAGCGAGTGCAACTACCACTCTATACTAGGGGAAACATTCATGGAAAGGGATGCATTATCGTTATCAATTCGGATCGTTGTATGAATTTAGCTAGTGCAGCCATGATGGACTACCTTAAGTTACCTCTTATCAATCACCCCCAACCATACAATCTTATTGATTCTGGGGATGTGAGAGTGACTAAACAAGTTTTTATTTCTTTTTGTATTGGCAAGTATTATGATGAGGTTCTATGCGATATTGTGCCAATGCGTACTGCACATGTTTCACTTGGAAGGTCATGGCAACATGATAGACATTTTTATTATAATGCACTCAACAACACATGCAATGTCACCTATAATAGATTTATACATGTGCTTAAGCCTCTACTTCCAAAACAAGTAGAAGAAATTCAATTGAGATCGAAGCAAGTTCTCAAACCAGCCTTGAAGAAAGAAGAAATCAAAGAGAGCAAACTGGAACCTCCACGTTTAGAATTGGAGTCACCACTCCAGTGCTCTAACTTAGATTGTAGCCAAACAAAGGAACCGCTATCAGTGGTACAGTGGAAAGAACCAGCCAGAGCTATCAAAGTGCAGCCTCGCTTGCTAACAAAAAAGGATAATAAGCAAGAGAAAAGAAGGGGAGTAACTATTTACTCACTTTTATTTCAAAAGTATGCATTAAAATTCTCTAGATTTGTTTGCCATGTTTCTATTAATGACCTACTTGCCAGATGTGCTAGAAATTTGTTTGCCTCAATACATCCAAGATTCCTTAATTTTGATTTTACAAAAACTTTATTTGATAGAGATAAGGAATCACTTGG